CCCCAAAACCCCAAAACCCCAAAACCCCAAAACCCCATAAAAATACATAGACATTGGATATTACCTAAATAAAATGACAATGTCAAAAGTAACTCTTGCGATCTCCATTGGATTATTATGTCTGATGCTGACTTACATTCAAAGATTACCCTACTTGCCTATTCCAGCTGACTATTCCAAAGCTCTAGGGGAGCTGAGCAATTCAGAGCCGCTAGAGCTCATTGATCCAACCACTGGACATTTGAGATATCAAGGGTGGGGCAAATATCCAAACAAATGGCTGTATAATCCCTCAATGAGCAAGGCTTGAGGACGCTTTAAAAAGTTTTGGAATTATTTCTACATAATTTCTGAGAATTATTTAGTAACAATGGCGCACACAGACATTGGTACTTTAAGAGCTGCTTACGTCAACATCAGGAATATCAAGAACATGAGCGAACCAACTATTGAAGTGAAAGTTGAAGGTATCAATTCCTATATTACCTCTAGACTTCTTCAGACAGTATGTCACAATTGAGACAGAAAAGAATGGCGCTGGGGTCTACTCAACAGTGGCCAACCCAGATCTGAATATGACCTTCTTTCAGAGACCTGAAAGTACAAGCGCCAAGATTGATATTTCAGGAATCACAGGTCAAAATGAGATTGAGGCTGCTTTTATTGCTGACTCTAAAGGCTATGAGGGTATTTCTAGTGTAAGTGAGACTTACCACGACAAGAGCAGACACGTTTATAGTCATAAGATCCAGAAGAAGTTTGTGGGAGATCTTAAAATAAACGGAAAATCCATTGTTACTTGCACTATTCAACAGCCTTGCCTTGGAATCTTTGATAATGGACGAGGGCATTTCCCATATGTTAGCAGATGGATATGGCCTTCAACTACATTTAAAGTGGGGAATCACGAAGTCCTCATTAATCTCGGATACTCACAAGATAACCCTCATGCAAGCTTTGATGCTGTGTTTGTTGATGGTAAACTTTACAAGCTAGACCCCTTGATTTTGGTTAAAGAAACCGAAGATCATTGGAAGTGGGTAAAAGCAGAACAGTCAAATACACATTCTAACAGTTTGAAGCTTGAGTTCAATAGGACTCACCATCACTCCGTTGGAGTTGAGTATCCTCTGGATTTCCTCAAGTATGTCATTCCATTTAAGGTTAACCTTGATGCAAATTATGGATTTTATTCTGGAGAGATCAAGATAAATGAAGGCAGGACTACAAAATTAAGTATCAAATTTGATGAAGTATTTGGATTCATCGAAGATTTCCATGCATTATGGTAATTTCAATAAAAATACATAGACATGGGGTTTTGGGGTTTTGGGGTTTTGGGGTTTTGGGG